GACGTACAATTTAAGTAAGTTCAGTCTCTTTTGAATTACAAACTGTAATAATTAAGCTTACTTTAATTGGACGATATTTTTTCAAATGCAGATAAATTACCAACTATTTCGAATAGCGGTTTGCATTTGAGTTTCTTAACAGCCCCTGATGATAATGGATTTTTTCGCCCAACGGCGGCAAACCTTTTAATTCCTGGATAAATTGGGGCCACTTGATAGAGTGAATTTTAACACCGTAACATAAGTAATTAGATGGGTTGCCGGTAAAAACCGCTCGACATATTCAAAAAAACTTTTCGTAAAATCTTTCTCACCTTTAAGACGGAAGAGAACAAAATTAAGACAAAATAAATCTTAGGCGATGAAAATAATTTAAGAGAATTACCCGGAGTGATCACAAAAAACTGAACCGAAAATAAAAAAGGAATGTACACCTGGATCAAGATCGATATTAAACGCAAGTAGAATTTCCCGTTCCCTTTTCTCAAAAAAAAAATTTTTCTTTGGAAAAAAGGGAAGCCTACTATTCAGCCGGGTATCTTTCTCGATGCAGCATTTAAATTTTTCGTTTTATCTTATTTTATTATTCTTCTTCTTCTTCTTCTTCTTCTTCTTATTATTATTATTATTATTATTATTATTAGTAGTAGTAGTAGTAGTAGTAGTAGTAGTAGTAGTATTTTATTTTATTATTATTATTTTTTTATGCGGACTCTCAACTGGACTATTAAATTTGCTTAAGATAGATAATGAAATTTACGTATTGTGAAGATTGATCTTTCAACCATTAAGATATATTAAGTAGAATATAAAATTTACAGTTAGAAAATAAAATGAAAACTCAGTCATCTTCTCGACCAAAAATCAATTTAACCACTTCTTTATATACACCATTAATCAATATTACGGCAAATTGTGATAGCAGTTTGGAAGGTAACATTTGCTAAAGTGTGTATAATCAACCAAAAGAAATGTTTATTTTCCTTGAAAACTAAATACCCTGGTAATAGAATTTGAATGATAACGTCCCGTCTGCTAAAAGTGCACTTTCCTAATAGATTTTAACAAAAGATTTTAATTGTGACGCACCATTTCTTTGTCGAACACAGCCAAATTTATTATTAAACAAAGGAGTCCTTTATCGTTGTTGTACAAACTCCAGACCCATGGAATAAGCATTTGTCCAACCACCTGTATAAATGCATGTTTTTCCCATAGATTAGTGAAAAGCCTTTAGAAATTTAGTGGAAAGTTATTTGCATGCCAAAGACGTTTGGCATTTCGTCTTAGTTTTCTTTAAAAGTCAATCTGTCAACTTAGCCTTGTTTGTGTAACTCCTGTATTTTTTGCCGTCGGATCGAACATCGGGTCGCCAGTGTCATTTCACCACAACTCAGCACGGAATTTCGCAGGTGAGAATATTATCCATAAATCAAGCTGTTCTAATGATATCCTCTCCTATATAAGCTGTTTCTTAAATTCGTTTGACTTTTGAAAAACTGAGGGGAAAAAATGAATCGAAAAGTGCACGGACTGTCTGCGAAGGCTGTCGGGTCTTATGTCTCTTCATCTTTTGAATTTTGAGTTCATGAGCCAAGCAACCCTTTTCGATAATTCGTAGCGGAGACTACCTATAATTGCACTAAATCCCTCTAGATGTAAGTCGCAAAAATATATCGGTGTAAGGCTGTCACGTGACCTTAAAACCGGTGCTAAATTCGCGACCACGTTGCAATTCCACCGGTTCTTCAATAATCCGTTAAGTTTACGAAGGCTAATTTAAAATATTCCAAATTAAAATCTATAATATTTGTTAACAATCAAAAATTGATTTTTGTCATATTGAAATTTATCGGTTGTTATGGATTCTTTGAAATGTCTCTCGATAAACACGAATCGTTCAGAGCGGACTAGCCTCAAGTAAATTAATCACTGACATTTATTACTAAACGTTGTTTATCCTTTAACTCGCCTGTTTTTCTTAAAAAAAAAAGAAGTTTATAGGAGAGGAAGTTTAGAAGAGAGGCATATAAAGTCAGCGGACCTCCTCAGAAATGTCAATCATATTTAATTTGTTCACTACACAACACTTTTCCAATACGTCGCAAAACAGTCTTGTTGCCCATTCACTAAGTAAATCAGAGCAGAACAAACATCAGAAAAGAGAAATACGAAACCGAACTGCCTCAGTTTCGTCCTTCAAATGCAAAAATTTTGTTTTAACCAACTGAGTCAATTTCTACCATTAAAAGATTGAAAAGCTGAAGTTTCGAGCGCAAGACCTTCGTCAGAGCATGCGAAAAGGATTAACGCTAACAACGTCAATATTTTCGTGATCGTAGATTGACTTCATCAACTTATTTCATACAGGAAAATTTTTGCGGATCACTCCCCCGCCGAGGAGATTCTTTTGAAAATAGCCCCTTCATTCATTTTTACTACAAATAGGTCTGTTTATTTGTGTCACGCCCAAGGAATTTTGTATGAGTGCTTTTCTTTTTGCGTATTGAACCAGGTAAGAAAATGGTATAATTTAACCCCCCAACGGGTTAATAAGAAATCTAGGCTAAAAAGCAAAACATGAATTGGTTCCTAGATGGGATCTATTCAAATAGCTAATTTGTATTAAGAACCCTTCGCTAGTAAAGACAGTAAGCATTGTTTTAGGGTAACATCCAGTCATAATTTTACTACCGGATTCACCGTAACTCTTTTAGGCCAGACGGGCATCAAATAAGGTTTGTATAAAGAGACAATGATAAATTTAATTGTAATGTTAAGCAGAGGAAATCGAGAAATAATGCAAATCAAACTGTATGATTTCTCGAATGCTCTTCTGCCTCTTAGTCCTGCTTTTTTAAAGTAATATACACATGAAGTTGGAGAAATGAATAAAAAGTGCGCAATATTTATTAAAATTTCGTTTTTATATGATTACGTTTTAGTCATCGGTCGTGATGTTTAGATTTGTGCCAGAATATATTATTTTATTATTATGACCACGAAAGTCATAGTTGGGCAGGCTAGGCAGGAAGTTGAAACATCGTCCTTGATCTGGTTTACTACAGTTCTAGATAGAAACTGATAATCTGTCTACACGAAATTGAGCAAACATTTCCGAGCGAGTTCTTGTGCTCATTTATAATCTTAACTGTGAAAATTGTTAAAATTTGGAAAGCAGACGATTGCCTCCTTGTCTCCAATTTGTCTACCAGGACAGATTACTTACCTTGATGTATTATCTTAACAGACTGTAATGTTTCTTGAAGGATAATTCATCGTACAAGTCAAATTTAGTAGGTTACTCTTCTTGAATAATAATTCGCCTGTTTGGGTTCATGTTTACTGCGCATATAGTGATTCTTGGCGGTCAACTTCTAATTAAGCATACAGGATTAAGCAGAAGGTCCCATAGGCTTGAATAGTAAATAATTAGGACCAACGCACGTCAACCCAACTGATTGCAAGCTTGCTGGCACTACGACAAAGAACAAATTTATCGGCCGTGTTTATCTAAAAAGACTTAGAATTTTAGACATTGAAAGTTAAGGGTGAAGTATAACAGATTAAACAGTTTCCATGGAAACCTTTAATGCCAAGGAAATGGCCATACCTCTAAAACTATTATTGGGCATTTGTTTGCTGCCATTATTAGAACATATACAGGCAAAGAGGGTAGTGTTTATCCACCGAAAATAATGGAAAAATATGTTACCAGCTTCCTTTTAAGTATTAGCATACCCTATGGGCCTATACACCTATGCTTGGTAACACTTTCAGAACTTTTTTTAACGAGTAACGTCAATCAACTTTTCCTAACGTTATCGCATTTTCAACAGTGTTAATGGGCTTATTCGGCTCATTTCTCTCTTCAAGTGAAGATATTGCCTGGGTACAGTCGCCTCCTCCCCTCAGGCTAGTGAAGAGATTAACTTTGGCGTTTGCGCTTAAAACTAGAAACTTCATTTTGAGAGGATATATCCAGGTCTTGGCAACAGTTTTATAAGTAATTTTAGGCAGTGCTTGGCATGGCGCTTTTCCACCTACCCTCTTCCTACTGTTGTGAAGTATTTTGAAGGCTATTTTAAAGATTTGTCTCACTTTTGTTTCGTATTTTCTTTCATTATGTGGGTTAAGGTTAGTCTGGATTTTGTCTTCGTGGGTGTTTGGTCTCATAATTTAACTTAAGTACTAGAATTTATGCCTAATTCGCGAATTTACTTAATGCCATTTTGGCATTTTTTCTTGGCTCAGTGTCCTTATCAGATGTGACTTTTTACGGGTGGTCGTGTTCGTCAGTTTAGAGGTGACCTTGGTGCATTGGTCTCCTTGAAGTTCCTGTTTGGGTTTGTTAACCAGCTTTTTAGTTTTTCATTGGTTTGTAGCCTCTCATCGATCGAAACCGTGTAGGTTCAGTTATACCATAACATTAACCACAACAAGTTTGTCTTGCTATTATTGTCACGGTCAACTAAACCAAACATGTCCAGCTTTGGCTATAAAAACCGCTACCATTTGGCTTGAGTCAAAGAGTCACAGTTAAGAGTGAGTAGGATGACTAGGAGTTGAGTAGGTGATAGCTGTAAGCTGTACTAACCCTTTAAGCCCCTAAGAGTGAGCAGCGTCTAATTTCTCCTTTTTAATATCAATGCTTTGTAAAAGAGAGTGGTCATGAGATACGGACATAATCACAAAAGGTTTGCTTGATAATTTATCAACTTCTCCCCACTACTTTTGTATGTAATTAATAGGGGCAACAAATAAGAATTGAAATTTTGATCTTAGGGTTCAAAGGGTTAAAGAAGAGAAAACGAAAATGTGAATAAGACTCTCGTTACCTTCTCGCCGCGCACCCCCCCCCCCCACTCCCACCTCATACACCTATATTACTGCAAAAACCATTTCTTCCACACCCCAATCATTCATTTATCAAAGTCTTCTTTTTCATTTCTTGGTAGCATTTTTCATAGCGGTGAGAGCAGCATTGATGTCAAGGAGTTATGGCAGACGACAACTCGACATCTCCGACTCCCCCTGTGGCTCCTTCCCTTACAGTCAGCGCTGTATTCATCATATCTTACTTATTATTTTTGGTGATCACGGCTTTGGCCGGAAACGGTTTGTTAATAACAGTCATCATCAAAAGAGAACTTCTGCAAAAGGTTCACTATTACTTTATACTGAGTCTGGCAATTTCCGATTTCTTGAACGCTCTTTTAAAAATACCCACGACTATTCTTGGACGTTTCGACAGAAATTGGTACCCAAGCTACATCGTTTGCTACTTCACTACCCCTCTCGGGGTGCTTTTTGGGGCGGCGTCCGTGTTCAGTTTATCATCGGTGGCTATCAATAGATACCTGGTAATATCGTCGCCTTTAAACTACTCTGATCGAATGCCGCCCTTCCTTGCGAAAGTCATCTTAGCTCTGATTTGGCTCGGGAGTTTTTGTCTTGCAATTCCACCCGTAATGTGGAGAGAAAAGGATGCTATCTGCCGAAGTGGGAGGATTTCCAAAGAACATTACACGTCAGAAGTACTTTACTTCTTTTTGGCGTTGTGGTTATTTGTGATCGTTATTCCTTCAATCATTATGTGCGTGTCATACGTGAAGATATTCCTCATCGCGCGATATCACGCGATACAAATTAACTCCCAGAATAACGCCACTGTAATGTGCCAGGAAACAAGAAAAAGACGAAGAGACGTAAAAGCTGCAATTGTATTGGCAGTGATCGGAGGAATTTTTATCCTCTGTTGGTTCCCTTTCTTTGTTGTACAAACGGTTCACAAATTTGGCCAAGGAAAAATAAGCCCTATTTACTTCAACATTTTTCTGTGCGTGATGTATTCAAACTCAGCATTAGATCCAGTTTTGTTGTTTTTGTTTAATGCTGAGATAAGGAGGAATTTGATACGACTATACTGCAGGGCATTCCAAAAGACAAATCCACAGGTCACCCAGTCAGAACTTTCGTCTTTCTTAACCAGGCAGGCCAACGAGGAACTTACAAGGGGAAGTACGTGAAGTACATACACCACAAGTCTCTAACTTGTCACATGACGTTTATGTTAAAGAGGCTGTGTCAAGGCTTGTGAATGACAGTCACAGCTTCGTGTGAAGCAACTATGTCTTCCAAACATTGAATAAAACATTACAAATAGAAAAAATGAACTTTGAAAAACCAAAATTGAAATCAGTTTCAGTCCTCTGCAGGTTTGTCCATCCGTACTCCTTTTTGTATTCGCTGTATTATTTAGAACTTCTTTTCATATTTTGACCGTTTTTTTTTGTTTTACCCAGTTTAGTGGCAGTTCCCCTTTTAATCTCGTATCACAGTTCTTATGACAAATCAAACACAAAGTGACTGGGACTAGCTTTTTACGTCGCGCACTGTGTTTGACAAAGTATTGTTTAACGTCAAAGTCTGTCATTCCAGCCAGAGAAATACTACCATGTGAAAGCAGCGGAGATGTTCTTTAAAAAACTGGAATTGAACCAGCCCCAAAGAAAGACCAATATGACAGACGTCTGTAGTTAGAGTTAGAGTAAATTCAACTTCGACAAAGAAGTTGTCTTTAAATGCTATTACCCGTCTTTCTTTTTCGTGTTCTGCTTTCTTTACTCCTGTAAGCACAGTCCTAGGTGATATAATACCAGTGTGATTCAATGTATTGGTATACCTTCCTAAGACGCTATAAAGTAATGCAAAAATATCTCCAATGTACTCCTTAGAATAAGACGTTAAGTATCCACACAGTCTATTACATATTCCCGTTAAAGGAACTTCCTTTTTACAGGTAAATGAGACTACAGAAAGATTATACATTCTTGGAAATATAGTCGAAATGTTAGACCATCTCTACAATACAACCAGCTATCAGCAATTTCCAGTCGAAGCAAAGTAGGTAATAAAACTTTTGGTGTGGGAATTTTGGCGAGTGGAATGATTGCTTACAGACGGTTCGACGGTAGATTCTCTTTTACTCATTTAACCTTGCCGATTCTACGGAAGTGTAAGTGATCGCAAGAAGAATGTGAATTTTCGAAAATATCAGTTTAAAGTAACTTCTTTGTTGTATGTTAAAGGGGTCAAACTACAAAACATAAATACCATTCTCATAACAATGCAGTCAGCTTTGCTCCCTTACTTTTTATTAAGAAAATGTATTCATATATTTTCACGGTCTATAAATGGTTAATTTGGAGTTGCACAATCGTTCCTTTTACGGGCACTTTACAGGAAGCCGCTGGACGAAAAACTGGATTTGCACAAATTTGTTCAAGGCGAATATGTAAATCTGGGCCAATGATAGTGAATGTCACACTTGCTTACCTATTTACAACCCTGTGTATTATTGTATGCAAATGAGGCATTTATCATCTTTGCCCCTTAGTTACTCCTCAGTATTTCATTTTTGCGACACATTTGCCATGAGCAAATTTGCAAGGCCATTTTTTTCGTCGTAGCATGAAAAAACAAAAAACGATTTCACTTCCGTAAGCAAATCGTATCCTGTAAAAAAATAAGACATTTTGTGGATTAGTAAGTTTTATCTTATTTGTCAGTCTAAGAGCATCATCAATAAAAAAGACAATGGTGGTGGCGGGAAAGATTATAGCCGATGAAAATGGCATTGATGATAATAATGATGATAACGAAGATGATGATGATGATGATGATGATGATGATGATGATGATGATGGTGGTGATGATGATGACGATGATGATAATGATGATGATGATGATGACGTACTTTTGATGATTTCACGGAATCGCCTTTTCAATAAAATAATTCAAAGGAAAAAGCCCTTGATTCATAAGCTCGGCTTCGCGGAGATTTCCCCGCCACAGTCACTCCTCCCAAGTAATGCACAAGTTTTTAATTTAATGTTAATTAACCTATTTATTATCGTTTTTATTCTGCTTGTAATTTATTGTGTGTGGCAAAATAATAAAATAAAATAAAAATAAATTCACTCACCTAGTTAAAACATAGCCCCCATTTGTTATCCCTAGTGAAGTTTCCAGTTGTTGCGCACCATTTTCCTTTCAATCTCACGCCATCTGACGTACATGAATGGTATTCTTTGCCACGGAACGTGAATGGAAACATGCAGCAGGCTCCGCGCGCATTCCCATCGTGAGTGTCCACACCGCTCTCGCAATTCTCTAGAGAAAAGAGAAGCTGTTCATAACACGAAATGTAAATTGAGAAAATTGTCCTCTTTCCCACCCACCTTACAAATGATCTCAAAAACAAGATTGCTCTTTTCTAGTTTCCTACGCGGCCTTCATTTGTTGAAGACTACTCTGAAGTTGTAGGACCAACCTTTTCACTTCCAGGGTCAATGAGGGAGTAGCGTAAGGTGGCCTAACTTTTGAGTCCGTGAAAAAAATCCAGCAGTCTGAGGTCCCCATTCAAAGGAAACCTCTTTGGAATTTATATCACAAGCTCCTTTTTGTAGCATCTTACAAAAAAGATGTTGTAATGTTTGTCCAATTGTGACTTTAGCCACTCAGGGACTAAAACTGTCAAGAAAAGCTGCAAGTAAAAAAGTGAGAATTTCGGTTATGCTTAGCTTTTTCCTCGATAAATCAAGAAAGAGAATAATAAAACTGGCCGTGGGATGGTGAGGTAAGTGTACCTCAGGATTTGTCCGAGTTAAAGGAAATAAATGTCAAAGCAAGCAAAAAGGCCCGCGCCTATGTTTACCTTGAGTCTCTGGGTCCCAGAAAATATCAACCAAACTGTAGAGTGCATAGGGCAATGAAATTTTCCGCGTAATTGATGTACCGCACACTTCGAGGAGCGCGGGAAAAAAAGTGACAACGCTTTTATTTTCACTTCGGTGTGAAATCACGATGAATTCACTTAGGCAAAGTGCATTTTTTTTTTCTTGACTCACCGATCCAGCACTTGCTCGCAATAACGAAATTCCCATAATGATACACTGTACACTTGGCAATATTGTTCCTGAAGTCAGACTCTGCGACTTGGTTGCCAGGATTCAGTTGGACTCGGATAAAATATGAACCTCGTCCTACGTCAGAGGAATCAATCCACTGACAATCAAGCTTGTTGCTATAGATATCGAAACATCCGGGAGTTATGCCCTGGTCACCACCTCTGGTGCAATTCCATTTCTTTTCGAAGCCGGGATCACATTTAGTGTCCTCTAAACAGAAACTGGCTTTGTGACCTTGTGCTCGCTTCTTACTGTCACTTTGCCCTGAAACAAAATGGAAAGGTCATAGATAAAGGAGCACAAAAGTCAAAAAAATGATTCCGAAGATTCTAGCACTTCCCACGAACATGTTCTCTCATAGGAAAGATCTCAAACTGGTACCCAGACTATTGTCACGTTCCAGTGGGATGCGCTCGCTGCGCCGCGATGCTTTATCGAGTAAATATGGTCAATGGCCGTTTTTATGTTAGAGACGTTACAGGGCATATAAAACTAGACGACAAGATCGAAAAAAACAAAGTTTTCCGAAAAAATACACAACACTGACTATTCCCGGTTATTTCTGGACGAGTTGGACATAACAGCGTCCGAGTTGACTGCGTCCCGTTTTCAAACTATAGACGCACGCAGTTAAAAGAAGATGTGAAAGTCGTCAGACGTTAAATGCATCTACTAGACGTTTAGGTCGTGTAAAGACGACTTTATCGTCCCTGGCATAAAAACGGCCAGCATTATTCATACTTAGCAGATCATAGCTGGTGAAAATCTCCATGGAGTGGTAATGCCCATGGCACCGATGATAATCCCAACCTGATCTGGGCTCACTTGGCCGAAAATCATTCCATCCTCTGTTTTCAATTTTTGTTGTAAACCTTAACAGGCTTCGCCAATTATAATACTGCTGGTTCTGCAACCTAAAAAGTGGAAAATATTCACTGTTCACTTGCAGTTGAAAAGAAGAATTTAAGTGCAGTTTTCATTAACTCTCTCTATTAAAATAACTCTCGGTCTTTTATAACTGAATTAGCTTGCGTCGTTGGCGGTTTTATTAGTCGAGCGCGCAAATGGCAAAGCGGCGAGGAGAATGGGGCAGAAACAACAGCTTCGCCGATCGTTCGCGCGCGCTTTGTGCGCGTTTTCGCAGCTTTTCTTTCCCTTTTGCTAAACAAACCGAAAGCTACGCAGGTTATAATTGAATAAGTCCTGGTCCTCGACAAGAAGTTGCAAAACTAATCAAACGATTCAAGTAGAGAGTAATATTAAGTAAGCACAGTATGAGAAGCATAAGGAAAAACCGAAACTAAAAGACTCCCTCTGTCTTCAAATATCCAGAATTGGATGAACTACATTTTAAAGCCATCTTCTGAATTGGCTGTCTTATTTATTTTAACGACAATTATGTACTTATTGACTGAAGGGTACCCTGACAAAATTGAAAGATACCAGGATTCTGTTCTTGGGCGTGGCTCTGTTAATTTTCTAGCGCGATAAAAACGATTTAGTTGAGTAAAAAAAAAAATAACATGAACCAGCCCTCAAATTTCAAGCATTTATAGGTACGACGAAAACTCTCGTCATCTTAATACGTGTGGATGGGTTTACTTGAAATCGGCTTTAAAAATGTCGACAGACTGTCTTCAAATGGTGTTTAGTCTGGTAAAGTTAAGAGACAAAACAATATGGACCCCTCCTCCCACTCCCTACCTATTTTGCCCTGTGTGTAGTTTCCTAGCAATTGCGCAACATTACTTTTGGGGGTGGGAAGGGGAAGTGACGGCGAAACGTGCGTGCCAGTTTTCTTCGCTGAATTTATACTCAAGATGGGGACCCGGGAGTCCTTCCTCCCTCCGGGTTTCAGGTCTCAACCAGTTACTCAATTTCTTCGTCGATCATTTGCTGCAATGCAATTTGTTCCCAGTTTTTCGCAAGAGCACTAAAAATTCGTCAATTTTTAGTTGCACGCTTTCAAAATGTAACCAATCAGGACATGCTCATTCTCTCTTGGTGCATGCGATTATGCCACTTTAGGATAAGTGTTGAAAGAGGAATAGAAGAACTGATAAACATACCGCGGACTAAAGAGCACATCTGCGCTCTTCGCAAGACAGTTTTCCTCGTGCGCACATCGGAGCCGCTGTAGTCTTTCAGAATCCAGGCGCATTTCCCTCTTAAGTTCTTTAGTATCAATTATAAGATCCGGCAGTGCTGCAAAGCAGAACAGAGTACAAAGATCTAATCAAAACAAGGCTCACAAAGCACAAGACAGAAAAACAGAGAAAGAGCCTGCTAGTAGATACCGTTTGCAATACACTTTTTTGAGCTTTAATTTTTTTAATTTGTTCTTGTATTTGGACAAAACTAAGTTTTGCACATTGGAAACACTGTTTTATCTACAAATAGAATTTTTTTTCTCGTTTGCTATTTTGGTGTGTTTAAAAGTTGACATATGTGGCAAATGGCTCTGATTCACGCAAGCATTCCACTTCCTCAGCACTTTGCGAGCGAAGTTTAACCCTTTGGTCCACGCGCATGAAACAACAATTCTCACAAATTACAGCTTCAAAAAATATAGAGGAGAGGTCTGGCGTTACGTTACCAAATTAAAATTTCAACAATCTTTCTTGACAGAGACGTCCATTTGCATGCGAACGATGGAAGAAAATATGGATTACCGTTTTGTTCTTGAGCGCAATCAAGCACAGGAAAATCATGCATGTCAATTTTTTTCATTATTTCTGCCATTTTTCAGGACCACGCTTTTTTTGGGAACCAGAAATCTTGCTACCATGTTAACGTGACATAGGAACTTCTCTCCTCTTTTTAGTGCCATACAGTATCCCAACCTCGTTCTCAGAGTTCTCTTCAACTCGTCCCTCGTCTCTTGTCCCTCTCTCGCTCTGTAGGGACAAGTAGGAGAGAAACCTGGGAACGAGGTTGACAGTAACCCACGTAGTTTCCAGGGCCGAGTTGTTCAAAGCTGGGTTAAGATAACCGAGGGTTAGTGCGAGATTTGAATTCAGATCTTAAAGCTTTAAAAGCATTTCAGTTTTAATGCTTTTTGTGTACAAGTTGACAATTGGAAGCTCTAAAAATAACAGAGAAAATTATCTGAGAAAATGCTTTAGAACACCAGAAAAAGAAACCCGGGTTAAATTTAACCCCGGGTTAAGCGCTAATCGGCCTTCGAACAACTGGGCCCAGAAGAAAAATTGAGCGGCGGGGGTTTGCGGGAAGATTCGCGGCGACGATACTCAGCGCAACAGTGCGTTGCCAGACCTTGCATTAATGTTCTGACATTGTTTCGAATAGTCCACTTTCGATATTTTAAAATTCTAACATGACTCCGAGGCTTTCAGGTCATCTTTCTATATTTGGTTTTGTTTTCTCGTCTATGAATTGCGGGACAATGGAGTCGTGAAAAATTTGCAATTTAGTCCCTAAAGCCTCGGAGTCATGTTAGAATATTTAACAGATCGAAAGTGGGCTATTGATGCAACATTGTTTCAACATTGTTGCTCTCTATGTCAACTACCTTGGACAATACATGAATACTGAACTGCCTTACCGTCCACACAAATAACTCCAGCCAGTTTATGTCTGCTGCTACATCTAACATTCTCCCAGTCATCGCGTTGGCAGTTATAAATTGAGATCTCATCGTAACGGCAAGCTACCCCGGACATAATGACTCTGAGATTTGTAGGACCAAAATAGTTCTGAGTGGCAGCTTGACTGGCGTATCCAAGGTTTAACTGTCTACACACAACCATGGCTTCTTCAATTCGCCAGTTATCTGCGCACACTGTTCCCCATCTGCCATCATGAAACACTTCAACTCGCCCCTCGTGTGAATTTGCACCGCCTGCCAGGCGAATCTGTGTTAAAGTTTATTCTAAGTTAATTAGGATTAGTTATTAATTATAATAATAATTGTTAATTAGCTTATGTGGAAGGGGTGCATTGTTCCGGAACGTCCCAAGATAGATCTGTTTACTAAAGCTGATAATAGATCATCACGACCATCGTCGTCGCTATCATCGATTAAGACGGGCCTTTAATCCACTTTCTAACCCCAGAGCTTTGCTATGGGGCGAGGTTCTGACCTGAGAAACACTCCCCTTTAGGAAAAGGAATCCCTACAGCTTAGAGGTTTACATCTGGTTCCGTTCAGGAGATAAAGTCACAGTAACATCGATCTGATGGAGGTCGAACACTTTGTAAATTTATGGTACTAGGGTTAAGAAACAAAGTGAATGATGCTTCATATTACAAAAAAATATTCTTCAACACCAACAATTTGTTGAAAGTTTAGCAGAGCCAGATCCCTTCATCAGCGATGACGTTTGACGTTATTCGCAGCCTCGTTTTGATGAGGCTGCAAAATTGCTCCAAAATGTTTCATATGTTCTTCATAAGGAGTCTGACCTACCGTATGTCGTTGTCTTTTTGAGGCTCCTTGGGTATCGGGCCAACTATTTGTTAATCAACTTATTCATCTCTGTTACCTCTCAGGGGATAACGTGAACTGGATCTACGCCCACAGATCGATATCATGGTACCTTTTGGCGGCATATGTGGCATTGTCCAACTAGCAACCCGGCCTCCCAGAATTTCTAGGCCTGGAATTTCGAAGTATTATGCAAAAGTATATCCTAAACATTCTCAAATATTTATAGGATTTTGGCGAGAAACCCCGTAAGCAATGCAAAACGATGGTGGTTGTATTCACTGGCTATTGATAAGAAACAATACTGATAAGTGCCTTGAAGAAGACATTGTCAATCTCGTCTCAGTTGTCCTTAAACTCGCCGAAGAATGTACCGGTCTATTTGATAAGGGAGTAACCTGATTTTAAGTTGGGACAACGATGAGTAAACATAGCGCGTGATATCTTGGCGAAAGAGTGTCAATACCTTATGTCCTTGAATCTGTGGCGCATTGCATCTGACAGACGCATCCTCGTAATGATTACAAACCAATCCATTCCAACCTTTGTGTCTGCACTGGGCAATACTTCTTTCGGTGCCTTGGCAGTGAACGTCGAGTAGCATTTTCTAGAAAAAATATTACTGTTACAATAATAACATTGTAGAGATAGGGGTTTACAAAGGGAGAAAAAAGTTAGGTTAAACAGCAATTAGCGATGGGATTTTTGAGTGCTCTTCACCTTTTTGCTTTCCGTTGTTACCAAAGTGCAGGTTACTATAGTAGGTACTGAACTGTTATTTCAGTGTGAAACAATTACATATAAAGATCGTATAACCAGTTTTAAATTTTGATGACAATTAGCCTGCGAGCAAGCTCTCCTGTTTGGGCGAGTGAAACAGGTCTCGCGAGAACGCGCGAGCGAGCGGCTCCCTCGCTCGCGCGTTCTCGCAAGGCTCGCTTCGCTTGCCCAAATAGGAGAGCTCGTTCGCAGGCTAGATGACAATAGACACGAGAACTTTCGGTTAGTTGAACAAATTCAAAGCGGAAAGCGCGTTCTAAGAAAATAGTTGGCCCATAAATTTGTTGACAGGTGGTTTACTTGAAGTTCAAAATGTTTTTTCTTGTCCCTGGCTGAAAGCCTTCTTGCTGTGTTAAACAGCAAACAACGTTTAGACGTCAAGTCTGGTAAAATTAAAAATCGTTCCAAACAACGTATTAATAGACCATATTCGACATTAAAATTCATACTTAGTTCGGAGGCTTAGGGCAAAAAAATAAAAAATAAATAAAAAATGTGTTGTTAATTACTGAGTCTCAAGATGACTTTTTTTGTTCTATTCCCCCAAGCCCCGGAGCCAAGTATGAATTTTAGTATATATTTTAATTTTTTGTACCAAAAGAGCCTTGTTATCATACAAATGGGCTAGAAATTAGGCTTACATCTCCAATTCCTCTTCCAAAGTAGGCATTCTTTGCTGCCATAGCCGCTGACCCATATCCAAGTGACCTGCAGACGACATTAGCCTCTTTCAATGTCCAGTGGTCGTCACATATAGTGTTCCAGTTTTCGCTGTTTCTCACTTCCACTCGTCCTTCAGACACTAGGGCTCCGCTGCGGAGTCGTGTTTCTGTGGACTTAGCAAATCAAAATACACATTGTAAAATACATTAATATCGTCATAACTAGTTTGATCATTGCTTTTCCTTCTCAATGTCCCAATTCAGAGGCAGGGTATTGAAAGTGCAGTACATATATTTGTTTGTTATTACGTTTTGATCAGACTTGCGCATGCGTTAAGCTGAGTGGTAAGGATGATTCCAATTATAAACGATGTAGATGTAGCTGGACACAAAAGGTGGCGGTGATCACGATTGGCAAGATGATGAGGACGTTGGTATTTCGAACGCCATGGTTATGCTGATGACCATGAATGATGATGATGCTGACGACGATGATGATAATAATGATGATGATGATGATAATGATGATGATGATCAACTTCGTCCTTAGGGAGCTTTTCCCTTAAAAAGGAGAGATTTTTATTATGCAAACAGCATGTGTCAAATTGATGAAGATAAATTAATGGACATTAAAGTAACGTAGTACTAAGGAAATCCAACTCACAATTTGCGTGTCATTTTTACGTGTGCATTTGAGTTTTAATGCTCTTAGACCTTCACATCGATGGCGAACCCACCCCGCGTGGTCACATGACACGATGGAAGACTCCCACCCTTTACACGTGACTTGGTCCAGCCAATAGACGGGCTCCGTCTCTTGTATTGTCACTGAATACGACTCCTGTTCCTCAGCGTTTGGGAATCCAAGATGTCCGCATAACACGTACGAGTTGACGGATGTCCAGCCAGAAGGACAGATGTACCCCCATTTTCCATTATGCTCCACCTGGACCACCCCTTCATTTATGAAGTCATCCTCGACTGGACCAAGTAGCCTTACATTCACTTCATTAACCTACAGTTAATACGAAAAACGCACAGCTATGTCAGGCCTGCATAGGAAAACAACTACTTTTGAATAATTTTGTCTCAGTGAAAAATTCAGCAGAGTAAGCAGATTAACCAACCAACTAAACAGTAAGACCATTGCATCAGTGTTGGTTGTTTATAACCGTATATATGTATAAGGCTTAAAGAATACATTTTTCCAGAAAGAGGGATAGTCTTATTCTCTTTCACCAAAAAGGCGACAAAAATGACATTTCGATAAAAGATTGCGTTTATGACCTAGAACCTTATTAGCGATTAGCACTTGGAAAATGGGAGCACTGGTCAGTTGTTTTCAATTCATTCCGCTCCCTTGATAACAAAAAATGCACAGTTCTATTTGTCCGAAAAATAAAGCACTTCTACTTCTTTGAAAAAGCAAGGGAAACAACAACTCACAGCCTAGCTAGTACTTACGCATGCGCTCAGTCATATTGCCCGGGCAGTGACAGCAAAAGACAGCTGTTTCACCCACTTTTTTTCATTGCTTTTGCCCTCAGTTTTTTTCTCTTTTTATTTGTAATTTGTAAGAGAATTTCTACCCAACCTTTTAAAGAAATCCACGTTCACAGTGTTGTTTAAAAAACGCATACCTCACCGCTGGCTGTTGATGGCTGTGGTTCAAAAATGACGTCAGTCCGATGAAGTTTGCAAACAACTCCAGCCTGGTTGATTGACAAACAGTTATGTCGGCCCCAGTCTCTATGAGAGCAGTATTGAATGTCGTATTCTCTACCACCGCATCTGACATCATCTAGCCAGAATTTGCCATTTCCTCGACCAAACGGAACTTCTCTGAAGATACAGAAGATATCAGAATTACCTCAAACTTATGTCTAAACTTAATCCACTTATTTTTTTTATATTAACCTCTCTGTACAAGTAAGTTTCCGTCTATTGTCTTTGCCCACCCACCACATTTTATTTTTATTTTTGTATTATTATCACTTAGCTTCTCTAGCCTCTGATGAAGACTAGTTTTGTTTAGACAAGACGGAATGTTGAGCAAATAAATTGCCAATCCTTAGCTGTCTGATCAGCCTTGCCTTCAATTTTAAGTGCTGATCCTGATCTACACAAAGATCCGGCGGCTTTCTCTCGCTGGAACGAGGTTGTCGCTGCTGTTTGTCCAAGTGGTCCTTACAAGAATTGTTCGCTAACAAAAAGCACGTTGACCTGAATAATTTATCGGCTTTCTCACTTGAAAACCGCTGCCTTGAATAATTTTTTGGCTTTCTTACTGAAAAGAGTAGTTCCGGGCTTAGACAGTCATTTAACGTTGAACGGGTTAAGAGATTGTGCAGTTATCAGGATATATGGGTATGATCCTGTTTGAAAATTTTGTTTGTACTCGACAGAAATTGAATATTTTCTTGTCTGATTTTCTTACGACTACTTAAAAAAAATCGAGGTCATGAATACAGTACCCTTTCAGTATCCAGAAATCATTGTGAAGATGTCAAGTAATTATTGGACATAACTATTTTCAAGACGTGGCTGTTTCAACCCGGCAACACCATTACTATTAAGAACACATTAATTTTAACAAATAACTAGTCTTATATCAAAGAATCTTTTAATTCAATCCTAGGGGGAGGGGGAATTTTTAAATTTAGGGGGTATTCCGTTGGGATCTTGGAACACCCTCTTTCAAATTTTTCTTCCCCATCTCAAATGGTACCCCTGCTCAAACCGGAAGTTAAAAGGAAGCCTTCATTTCAGCACGTATTTTTAAAATTTCACCAGCATTTGTTATATTTTTGCAAACTGAAAATTAAGAGTACTGATTTGGGTAAACAGAAACACATAAGTCTTCAAGCGGGTGCAGGAAAATTCGGCCAAACCCGTCTCAGACTAAAAAAAATCAACTTTATGGCCTTCACCCAGCGAAGCATACCAGGTAGGATAACGTATATCAAGTGATATCCCTTCCCCGAGAAGAGGCCCTCAGTTTAATCCCGGGGGCGGGGGGGGAACTCAAAGGAAGTTTAACAAGAGGTGTACCGCCGAGGTTTTCAATCCCTGACCCTGTTTAAGACCAAGTTATTTATTTTTTTCCCTGATTCATTCTACTTTCCATACAGAATTATATAACTTTTAAACTAACATCATGAAACTTTACACTTTTTCAGTGGCTTCCGGTATGACATGAAATGATTAATTTGTATTCCGTGTTTTAGACTCAAGACCCTGAAAATAAAGACCATACCCTGTTCAGCAGCACATAGCCGTATAGGCAAAATGAAGGAGTCCCCCGGAAGGTTCAATCCCTCATTAAGTATTTGTGTTTACACAATTGTATTACCTCCAAACGCTATAACACACTCACCCTTTAGTGAAGCGCAGCGCGTCAGGAAATCCAAGCATTCTACAAACAACTGCAGCAGCTTTCTTGTCCCATTTATGATCACAAATAGCTCTCCATTCGCCGTCATATTTTATCTCAACTCTTCCTTCATAAACATGTTTTCCCCCGATCAGGCGCACTTCTGAACCCCTTGTAACACGCAAGGAAAATAAAAACAGAAAAGCGAAGAGCAGGCGACGCATTTTAACTATGGCCGCTTTTGTTCAAGCCTAGCTGCCCATAATAATGTTGACCTTTGAAGCACACGCGATCTCAAGTGTTTGACCATAGAATGAATCTGCGTTTGTTCGTCTCCAGACGGTAACGCAATAAGTGGCTCTTTTGTCCCATGTTAAGTAACGCGAGTAGTAACGTGAACAGAGCTACTTGTACATTGCTCCCGGACATACCGTACCGTATTCCCGCGAATAAGCGCCAACGCTCTAATATAATAACCCCACTCCCCCAGATAAGCGCTAACCGCGTAGGCCGCAATATCAAACAAGCGTCCCCCTCCCCTCCCCCATCACTTTTATGAGTAGTAGGGATAAAAGAAAAAGGCCTGGAAAAGGCGTTTCTATTTTCACTTTATTGATGAGAGAATTGATACTTGATGATAATAACTAGAAATAAGTGAATCGCAGAACCTCGCGCAGCACTTGGGGAGAACGGCAAGAAGTAGGAGGGAAAGGGAAAGAAACCAACAGGGAAAAGAAAATATAAAAATATTAAATATGCAACATATAAAGAACCAAAACAAAACTGAAATAATAAGAAAAGGAAAAAAAGAAAGTAGAAAGACAAGAAAAGAACTTCTTAAACCACTTTAATGTTACAAAACCAAACTTTTCATAATGCACGGTCATAATAAGAAAATCTTCCCGTTCAGCAGGCACTCAGAGCTTGGGTACTATGGTAGACAAATAATAAATGTGTGTAAAGTGTGAAGTGTGTAATGGGACTATAGTACACTTGAAAACCACCGACTGACTGTTTTAAAGACATGAATATGGGTTAAGCGTTTGTTTCTAGATTTAGCCAAAATAAAGTTACAATTTGCTGATATGAAAACTTAATAATAAGCCCCCCCCCCCACCCCAATTAAGCGTCTTCCTTTTAGCCGAAATTTGAATAAGCATCCTAGCGCTTATTCTTGGAAAAAAGGTAATTGAAATTATGTTTGACCGGCGCAGCAAGCTAGGAGGAAATATAAGGCACGCGCGTGGGAGGAAGACGTGCGTTCGTTTCCCTTTTTATTCATTTATTTACTTATTTATTTATCTATTTATTCATTTACTTCACTTAGGACTCTCTTTACTTATTTGTCTATTTATCCATTTTTCATTCAGTGCCTTTAATTCATGGTGTGCCCTATATTCTCGGGAAACCATAGTTCATAAGCCCCTGGCTTCTAGATAGGCTTCCTTCAGTTCCTTGCCATCACCATTCTTTTTTTTGATGATTTGCAAAATAGAATAGTGTCTATCCTCTATAATATCTTATAAATTATTTGTGTATTGTAAATTAGAAATGTGTTTTAATGTTTGATGGCAAAATAAATGAATGAATGAATGAATGAATGAATGAATGAATGAATGAATGAATACTCACAGGAGCCGACTGATACTTATTTTTCCTTATTTAGATAGTCCGGTCCTGTGACTGCTACGCAGGTTAACCCACTTTTGTGCAGGGTTGGCTTAAGCGCATTTTTTCTAACTTGCGTGTCGGGCATAAAAGCCTCGGAGGAAGGGGGGGGGGGAAACACGCGGCGGGAACGGGAGCGGGGTGGCGCAGGGGGGGCCGGGGGGGGGGGTTTAAGGGCTAACCGATTTGCAAAAGTTTTTCTCCCAATCCCCCAAAGACAAATACGTTCCCTGCTTTTGAAAGAATGGCAAACTTTCACACTACCTTTTTCCAAACGTTTCTCATCACAAATAACATGGCAAAAAGTCCAAAATTTATTTCTTTTCCCTTTCAATATTTGTTTCAAACGTTGTCACTTAACTAATGTAGTTCGTGGCCGTGGCACGCAGTGGTGGTGCCCCTTGGGGGGGGTGGCGTGTGCGCGCCCGTTGTTCTTCAGGGGGTCGGGGGGTGGAAGACGGCGGGGGGGGGGGGGGGGGGGGGCACCCCGGGGGGGGGGGGGGGGGGGGGGGGGGGGGGGGGGGGGGGGGGGGGGGGGTTTAACGGCTAACCGATTTGCATAAGTTTTTCTCCCAATCCCCCAAAGACCAATACGTTCCCTGCTTCTGACAGAATGGCAAACTTTCACACTACCTTATTGCAAACGTTTCTCATCGCAAATAACATGGCACATAGTTCATAATTCATTTCTTCTCCAGTTCAAGTATCGTTTCAAACGTTCTCACTAGATCAATGTTGTTAAATTTTGGCGCCACCCACTGCAATAACCCAAAGATTCGCCCCAGTACCTTGCGGCTACCTGTGCTACAGAACTCTATATTTTGTTTGCAGGGTGTAAATTTATTTACTGTTTGTTTGTTAGGAGTTACCCTGCGAACCGCAGACGTATTTCCCGTCGTCGCTTCTCTCCCTCCGAAAAATAAGAGAGAAGCGTCTTTGCGGTTCGCAGGCTAGTTAGGAGTGGGTAAAAAATATATTTTAATTGCAATGCGGAAATCGATGCGTGTGGATATAATTTGTTTGCAGTTCGATAATTTATTTTATTTTCAATGTGGAGATATATATTGTTTACATTGCGAGTGTATTGTAGAGTGAAGTGTATAGGTTTAGGGCCTGTTTACATGGAGTAGGGGACCCCGGTCTAGTGTGGTAAGTTTCTTTTGTTTTCACGCTCTGGGGGACAAAAAACAAAAGAAACTTACTCCACTAGACCGGGGTCCCCCACTCCATGTAAACAGGGCCTTTGTAGTGCTTGCTGGGTGCAGGGATTTCTTTTCATTTCAGTGTGTAATTCAATTTTTAGCGCTTTTCGTGAAAATTATTGTTAAAAGTGTTGTCCCTTATGGGCCACCGTATACTAACCAATGAAAACGTCGCCGTGATAGACCTATTCGGCTAACTCAATCTTGTACCCAATTCAAATCTCCCGGGGTTAAGATTCTTTGTGTATCGTATTTGCATTATAATGTGGCATTCTCATTTAAATGTATGGAAATTCCTGAAACAAAAAGTTTTATCCCCAAAGGGTTTGAATTGGGTACAACATTGAGCTAGCCGAATAGGTCTATTAATTCAGTATTCCGTCACAATTTGTGAGCAAAAAACAAGGGATTGTGCACCGTCAGGGTGCTTATAACATAGACTGCAAAGCTGATGTTTTTATATGTTTTTCTATCTTTGATGTTTGCCGGTTTTCATAACCACCCTCCTCTACTATGACGAATGTTAATTGTGTATCAGTATCCCTTGCTCTGACTAATTAGTACCATTAAGTTATGAGACAAGTGATTCCTGTCTCGCTTGCCAAGAGCCCTGCAAGTCCGAACCATCTTGTACTAGGTCCAGTTTTTACTTATCTGCACACAAAAACATCCAACCGTGAATATCCCCAATCCTAAATCAATCTCCCCCAAAGCTAAACTGGTCCGTGAGTCCCATAACACTAACTTAACAATTATCTCAGAAACAAGAGAATGAGATTATGAATCTCCACTGCTACAAACACGTTTGGATCGGATCCTGAAATTTCATCTCGCTTCGCTTAGAAGGATTATTCCCTTAACAAAGCCCCATGAAGACTGAACAAAGCTCAGTTTCGCTTACAAAAAATCCTTAAACTACTATCAGTACATCACCTGGATAAATCACGGTTGGTTCGCCAAACTATTATCCCCGGCCAAAAAAATTTCAAACGATTCTTGAACGCGAGTAAAAAAAGTGGGAAAATGAAAAAATAAAGCAAACCGCGCCACGAGGGCGGTAATAAATTCCCACAAGTCCCAACAAACACGGGCGAAACTCCGGAACGTAGGCTTGATTGCCAGCCCGGCGCTGTTCGGGGATGTCGACCAGCCAAAAAGGAAAAATTAATAACAACTTACCCTGTAATAGGTAAAAGATAAGCCCCGCAAACAGGAAAAACAGAACCTTCTATTCTACAACTAGCGCATAAAATTTCCGAAGGAAAAGGAATACGTCACCTCTCCTTGGCGTAGACGTGGAGTTCGAAGGCCTAGCACGTGGTGTAACAAAATTGTGTGTTCCAAGAGAGCAGCACTCCCAGAAGCACCTGACTGAGCTTCATTGCCAACATCTTGCACTGGTTGCGATTGCAAAAGAACGAAGCACCGCATGCTGCAACTCAGTCGACGTAACGGCAGCACTGGCCGTGCCGGAGCACAATGTTGTTGACCCGCTTTTAACGAGACTCTTTTTGCATATACGTACTTTGCATATATTATTCAGGTTTATATAACGTCATTGCACGGATAATCAATATTGCATGAATGTGAATTATGACCCGCTAAGAGCGCTTTCCATTCAACCAAAACTTTCAAATATTAGACTTGCCACAAGTCGTCCTCACGAAGGGCGGAGGCTTTTTTCGAAAGTCTACCCAAGCAGTCGAAATAGGAACATCAGTATTGTTAAGAAACTTTGAAAAAAATAAGGATTTGTGTTGGGAAAAATTATAAAACTATTTTTTCTGTAACCTACGAACGAGGGGACAATCGGCTAACCTCACTTAACTTGTGTTTCTTCTTTTCTGTGTGGTCCTCGGAAGCAGTTTTTACCCAGTTTATTGGTTTGATTGTAAACATGGCAGTCTCTATCTTAGTAAGGACAAATCTATAAGACGGACACTTTTCTAAAACAGACAGCTAGTGCCGGGCTCCGCCGTTCTAAAGTCATGTTCCTTGAAATTCTCCATATTAGGCATCTCTAAATGTTGCGTATATAACTGCGATGATCTTCCTTCATTTAATTCTTCAGTCCGCAGTTCACATATATGATTTTCATATATTCATAACTTCAGTACACATCTCTGTTAAACGGACATTTAGTGCGACAGTCCCAAAGGGTTCCGTCTCTGCCACCAGTGCTTTCCATTTTTGTTTGCAATCAACTTTATCTTAATGGACACCTTTCGTTTCATTTATCCTTCTTGTCTGTTTATAAGGGGAGCATCTGTCTCCAGAAGATGGACATCTACTATTAGATAAGAGAGAGCTGAAAGTAACGCTATTCGCCATTGTACATCTCCCATAATACACCTTCTTTGTCCCCCAAAATTTTGCATAACCTTTGTTTTTATTTCTCCTGGGTATTACAGCCGTCCCTAGAGAATTTAAAACAAGGCTTATGCAAAATGTAGATCTAAGCCTCCTAAGCCAACATTAACACTTATTTCTCACTTAGGGCAAAATGTTGGCTTAGGGGAGGTGTAGGTGGGCAGTTTCCCAGTTTTGGGGAGCAAGTGGCGAATACCGTAACTGACTCTTCCCCAGTCGTCTCTTATTATTTGCAAGTGGTCAAGGAACGGTCGCGGGAGACTAATACTACTTCCTGTGCGAATAGAACGATGGGAAGGTGAAATGAAAAAGTATCCTCTCTTTCCACCTTCCCATCATCCCAGGCGCTTCCATTGACCGCGCTATTAATAGGAGACAAGGAGACGACTAAGGATGAGTCCGATGCAGTAAGGGTGTCAAGACGCAAAAGTTGGTCACAACTGTGTACGAGCCATTCCAGTGGGTTAAAGTATGATTAAATACGACATACGGTTATGATACAATTATAATATACACTGAAATGCATTTTTGGCGATATTTATTACCAAACGAAGGTTGGTCAGTTAAAACTTGACCAGTAGTACCAGCGAACGTGTCTTGAGGTTTAAGGATAAAATAATTTCAAAAGTGTGAAATAATAATTGTAATGAAATAAATATTGTTATACAGCTGATATAATAGTATAAAGATCTTTTTTCACCGTTCTACATGCTTATGCTAATAAAATGATGGCATGAATATCAAGCGATCCAATCGAAATCAATTTCCCACGCGGAAGGAACAACAAAAAAGCTGGTTCCCGGCCGGACCTCTTCAACTTGAATATTTGCTTTCCTAAGATAACCTAGCAAGGTATCAGTGGCGGCTTATAAAAGTACAAGGGAGCCTAGACACAGCTCAACTGGAGTATTGTCAATCATGCGAGCGCCAACGGCTATTTCCCTTCAATAAACGATCGTTGTCATTGTTAACTATCGATGCAACCATTGGTAAGATGCAGGTTTGAAGTCCTGGTTTGACCATTGCTTTCGATTTTCTTTCATTTTGGTAGAAACACTCTCAATAACAGGTCAAAAATTTGCTGAGTTCCGCAAAAATGGCAGCGACCGTTTACGAAAGGGACAACTGCTGCGCGTACTAGTAACAAAGTCCCCATTTCTTGTCTGTTTTAAAGTCGTATGTTGTAGAGCACCATTTAATTGAATAGCCGTCTGTGGTACAGTCGTGATACAGCTTGCCTCTGAACTTGAACGGAAACACACAGCAATTCCCGCCAGAATTCCCTCCATGCGTGTCCAGGCCACTTTCGCATTCCTCTGAAAAATAGTAAGACCCCCTTTTGGTCAGTAACACCTTTAAAGACGTTTTTAGTTGCAGTTGGAAAGTAATAGCCCATGTCCGATATATGACATGACTCCGAGGCTTTACGAATTTCATTGTCTCGAAACTCCCAGAAGAGACTTGAGCACAAAGAAAACGAAACCAAGTGTAGAAATAACAAAGAGGGCCTCGGAATCAGTTTAGAATTTTGATAAATTGAACGTGGACTATTGGCACCGCGGAGTTGGACTGCTTTAAATCGCTGCGCCTTGGAATCAGATAAAATAGTTAACAACACTCGATCAAACAAACGAAAAGTCAATATGAATACAATATGAATATTGAAGAGCTTCATTCCAAACGAGTATGAGAGATAAGAAAATGTGGTCTATGAAAACGGTCATAGTCAGTACAGATCCCGTATCAAGACCTCAATCTGTCGGTTGGCTATGGGAGATCTGGGTACGAGATTACTTTCACATCGCCCACAATACACCTTGTTTTTCCCCAAAGTTTTGCAAAGTTATTGTTTCCAGTTTCTCCTGGATATCGGAAGCTCATGCAATTTTTGTTGGGGGTGAGGGGCCGGGGGGGGGGGGGGGGGGGAAACCGAAAANGTAAATAGTGTTTTGAATGAATATTTTTTAAGCAAAAATAATTGTAAATAGGATTTTATAGTTCCTGTTAGCTTTGTTATCAACAAAAGAATTATTTAAAATAAAAATTATTATTACTTACTTCATATATATCTTTTTATTTCATTATTATTATTACTATTTTTTTTGTTTTTAGCAGTTGAAAGAAACTTTTGAATTTTAGAGGTTGACAGTTTTTTTTTATTGAAATGAAATGTTTTTAATTCGAAAAAATTTTTCTTAGTTAAATTAACTTTTTTTAAGCTAAATTAAGTGCTTTTTAAATCGACAGGAATTGTAAAGAGTGTTTTTGAATGAATAGTTTTTTCCTTTTTTTTAAGCGAATTAATTGTAAATAGGATTTTAATAGTTAGCATTGTTGTCAATAAAATTTTCTCATTATTATTATTATTATTATTATTATTATTATTATTATTATTATTATTATATCTTGCCATCACATGAAAAACACCAGAGAAAAGAGCCTTGGTCAAATTACGGTTAAGCAACTACAATCTCACGATTTAGATGAGATTGGCAGAAACAACAAAATTAATGGAGTAGATAACTTTGCCCTGCTCGGCGATCTGATCAAATTGAGGACGAAATTCATTTTCTGTTTTACTGCTCCAAATACTCAAAAATAAGAGGGACAGTCTCTGATCCCAAACATTAAGTAACCATCTGTGAACGAATTGATCATGAAATTTATGAAATCTGCTATATATATACAAAGAATTGATTAAACTTATATCATATTGTTTAAATCTTTGGGATAAATTGTTACCAATGTAGTTTTTAAACCGTTATCTTAGTCTGTTGTACGATTTTGCAAAACTGTAAAGTTTTAGTCATGCAAATAAAGCTTGTTGTTATTGTTGTTTTTGTTGTTGTTAAAAATATTGGTAGCACGGCTGTAACATATAAGTGTCGCTTTAACATTGTTAGACTCACCAAGCCAACACCTGTTGGCAATAATGTAGCTTCCATAATCATAAACAGAACATTTAGCAACATTGTTCTTAAAATCCGACTCCGCCACTTGATTTCCGGGGTTAACATGTACCCTGAGATAATATGCACCATGATATATGTCCGTACAGTCCACCCACTGACAGTCAATATTATAGTGATAAACGTCATAACATCCGGGTGATACTCCTTGATCTCCCTTGTCAGTGCAGTTCCAGACTCGCTCGAATCCTGGATCGCATTTAGTGTCTTCTAGACAGAAACTGGCTTTGTGACCCTTGGCTATTTTGCGCCCGTCCCTTTGACCTGAGATTGATGCAAAAAAAAAAAAAAAAAATTAAATCCATTTCATTATGTCCTATAGTATTCTGTGGCATGGCACCGCCTAAAAAGTGTTCAATTTGTCTCAACGATAAAGGGATAGTCTTGGTAGATATATATATAAACCACTTACCATCAGCTAAAAATTCTGAAATTTAATTTCTTATACAAGACAAATGATTGTTTGGTAAGGCCGTCTGAGTCACGAAAGTCCAGTCCATTTTGTTCAGTTTTTTCAATTACTTGTTCTTACTCCCACAATTTTCGTCTCCAGTTCCCTTCCCTTGTCTAAAGAGTCGAATTTGTATGTCTGCCATCACACAGCCCGTCTTTTTCGTCAGTCTGTCTTTGTGTCTGTCCAGCTGTCTCGGTCGGTCAATTTCTCTGTTAAGCTAGAGTAGCATAAGGCTGACACTCAGGTGTTTAGTAAGTGTTCAATTATGATGTATAAGCCGCAACTATCATTGAATGTTGTTAAACAAGTAATAAACTAATGTGCCAACAAAATCATGCCGCTAGAATAATTGTCTCTTTTGGGCTTCAATCCGACGACCATGCATTAACAATGCTGAAGCTATGATTAGACTGTGGACATGCTCTTTGATGAGGGATAGGAAGAAAAATCAGGAAAACGGAAGACGGAAAGTGACGGAGGGGAGGAGTGAGGGACAAAGACCAGTACTTTCCTTGACTCCCTTCCTGGCCTCTCCCGTAAGCTTGGTGGCTTTGTGAGGTCCCCTGGCCAAAAACAAAACTGTAAACGTTTTTTAAGTTAAAGATTCACCAACGTGCTATTGTAAACTCTGGTTAATTAAGCCATTTCATATAGCGTATTTGAAGGTGAAGCAACTGCCGCAGTCGTACTTGACGAATGAACCTTGCATGGTTTACAACTTCAGAATGAGCAATAACATTATCTGTTCCTCGTTCGAACTCGTACTTTCTTAAAAATCTCAATAAGCTTTAGAGGCGTAATTTTATGGAATACTATTTTGACTCATTTTACGGACCAGTTTACGCATTTTTAACGCAAAGTGAAGAAGGACATTTATGTTAAGGAACTAGATTTTACTACACAGTCAGTCCAATCGTTACCCAAGCACTACTGCGATTTTAAATGCTATTAACTAATTTTTTATTATGTTTTTAATGCTGTTAGTCAATTTCTTATAGGTGATCAATGCATATTCATTTTAAACCTTATACATATTGTATCTTTCCTAATTCTTATCAAATATTAATTTAAGAGATTTATGGACGTTTTATATTGTAACTAATTTTATCCTTATTTTTTAGTATAGTTCTATATCGTAATTAATCTTACACGACCACTCAAGCATCGTGTTTTAATTTTATCGTGTTAAAATAACGGATATGATGATGATTAGGAAAAGGAGGAGGAAAAACTAAATGATGATGATGCTGATAAAGCCTCAATGTACTAAATAACGACGCGCCAAACTACTAACAAATTGATCCAGCGGATTTGATTCCCAAAAGAGCCATAAAATTCGTTCAGCCGACAGGATTTTTTGACAGGTCACGCGATTCCATTCTGTACTTACGAAGAAGGTCATAAGTCGAAAAAGTCTCCATGGAATGGTAGTGTTTGTGGCATGAGTGCCACTCCCAAAGTGACTTATCTGTAGATGGTTTGAAGTGGTCTAACCCTCGATTCTCAACCTGAACGCTAAACCGCAGTAGCCTCCTTTGATAATAATCTGGATGTCTGGAAAAGGGCAAACATCAGTTTCGATGAAAACACACACCGTCCTTTACTTTAATTTACATGACTACAATGCGTCTACTTCGATGGTATGACACGCTGCATTGACACAGTACAAAGTGAAGTACAATAACACGTGTCGTGCAATGCGTTACCAGAATGGCTGTGGTTTAAATACCATTCGCCACTTTAGAAACAAGAAGGGAGCTGGACCCGAAATGCGTTCCACAATATTGTTTCTGGAATCGTTACTGGGGACGAGCCGTTCAGCTGTGGCCAGTTTTTGTCCCTGTGCCTAGTAACAGTCCCAGAAAGGCTTTGCGAACTTAATTTTCTTCCAGGATTTGCTTGAAAGACTCAAAGGTTACAAACACCTCACAAGACTCTGTCATTATTTCACTGTGGCAGTGATATGACAGAGCAATAAATAATAACGAGACAGAGAGGGAGTCTAAGGGCGTTGGCCTGGATATGTGAATTTCAGTAAAGTTATTTTTATAGAGGTTGTAATTGAACGGAAGTCTAATTCCTGGGACGTCCGCACAGACTATTGTAATGGAGACACACCGAGAGAGCAAAATGTCCCATTATTCTTTCTTGACAACACTAAATAACAGTTTGCTGACCTCTCAGGGAACCATCTTACGATTAATTTCAAGAGTTTAATTGGTCTAAAAATAGCTTTGGTGAAATTTGCATTTCCCTGTCTGTGTTTACCTCAGCTGTCGCTCTGCGCTCGCAGAGAGACAATTCTCTTCGTAGGCACACTGCAGGTACCGCATGGGTATAGAAGTCATTTCCATGTAACCTCTGAGAACGTCAACGTTTATTACAAGATCAGGTAAAGCTGAAATAACAAAAGATAAAATTTGTGACATTTTTCAAATACATCTCTAAAAAGGTCATTTCCATTGGACTGCCTTTAGTACAGACTTTCACTGAGAGTTTTCGCAATATCCCCGACGGCACTTTAGTGGCCTTTACAACCCTAGTGCTAAACCAACGTACCCCGCTTTCTCTTTTTGCCTCCTTATACAAACATGTGACCATAACAACACGTTTAACAGAGAACAAATCATCGTCAAAATTCGGTAACAAATTTTCGGAATTATTTACCTGAAAAAATTATTTACCGGAAAAAAAGCTTTAATGTAAGCCGTGTGCCTTGCGGTGCATACTGAAATAGGTTTTAGAAAAAATAAAACAGTGAACGGAGGTGCAGGCGCTTCAGAAAACTTGACCGTCCCACTGTAGCCTGTGAGCAAGCTCTCTGGGGGCTCTCGGGCGGGGAACGGGAGGAAAGCTCCCAGAGCTCCTCAGAGAGCTTGCTTTACAGGCTAGACCCACTAACGTGTGGGTATGCAACTCTATCCTACCTCAGCCTATCAAGGAGCTGGTTAGGTGATGCTCAATGTAGATTTTTTGGCATTGGCCGTCCACTCAGCAATATAAAGAAATACTTCTGTTTCGTAAGCAAGGGCTACTGACTCTTATTGAAATGTTTATTACAAACGCATTATTATTGTCAAACCGCCTAACACATGGATATTAGAGACTTTCAGGGCCCGTTTATGTGGACCCCAGGTAGGTAAGGTAGCCCGGTTAGGTGGGGTAACCCGCTTGTCCATATAATCTCTCTTTTTAATTTGATCACGTTTACATGATATGTGGGGTGACCATTTGAGAGATTATATGGACCGGCGGGTTACCCCAACTAAGCAAGTTACTTCACCCACCTCGGGTCTCCCACCTAAGATCCGAAGACGCGAAAGCAACGAGAACTTAAAAAAAAGCAATAGGTTTAGTGCGAAAAACAAAAACTTAGCGCGTGCATCACACTTTTTTGCACGACTATGCCTAATTTTTACGATCTATGGAGGCCGCAAACAAGCGAAGATGAAATTTTATTTCTCTTTGTGAACTTGGATATTGTCCCTAGGAATTCAACTCCAGGAGGTTTGCCTACACTTGAAAAAGTGAGTGGATAGGGAGAGTTTTCGTTGCCATCGCGTCTTTGGATCTTTTAGTCCCTAACGGGTGTAGAAAGAGCAAGCATGTCAAGCATTTGCCGAATTTTGTCCCAAGTTTTGCGAAGGCGTAAAACAACTTACCGCTAACACAAATAACTCCCGCAACCTTATCGTCGCTGCTACACGTAGTGTTTTTCCACTCGTCATGCTGACAGTAATAAAGTGAGGTCTCATCAACGCGACATTTAACTCCAGACATGATGATTTTAAGATCTGTTTCGCTGAAATTTTTATGGGTAACAGCTTTGCCGGCGTATCCGAGGTTTAGCTGTCGGCAAACTGTCATGGCTTCCTCTATTCCCCAATCGTCACCGCAGACTGTTCCCCACCGCCCATTATGCAAAACTTCAACTCGTCCTTCTCTAGGATTTTCTCCTCCTTGGATTCGAATCTGCAACACCAAACAAGAATTTGTAGGCTAGGCACTTTAGAGTATCTAAAAGTGCCTTTTATGCCCAAAGAGTGACCAACACTGGAAGATTCCATCGCCTACCGAGATACACATTGATATATAGATTTAGCCAAAGCCAAAAACGAAGCTCTCATAATAATAATAAAATAATAATAAAATATTTATATAGCGCCTATACTTTTCAGTTCTAAGCTCTCGTGGGATCTTTAAAGAAATGTCTTTCTGCAGTGGTTTAACTTTTTCCATAGCAAGTTAACTGGATTCCTTCTGAAAAAATAGACCTGAGCCTGCGACTAATTGAAAATCAACAAGTGGTAAGTTCAATGAGTTGTAAACCTGAGCCCGCGATACAGTCATGTCACACTGGTCAGCGGATGCCCTTTTTTTGACAGCTGTCAAATGACCATAACATGGATTCGTAATATCAAGTTTAACACAGATTAAAGCTTGGACGTCTTAGATGGACGTACGGAAGGACGTACGTAAGGACGGACGATTTTGTCACAACCAAATTTCTTGGTGACATAGATAACCAAATTTTATTATCCACGGTGCTCCGCTGCGTGCGCTTTGCGCGCTAGAGCCCCGCTATTACAGATCTGATAGACTTCTGAAGACCACTCTGTTTCAGATCTTGTATCGGCTGATTGCATAACTTATGTGAACACTGAAAAAAGTCTTACTATCTAATCGGATGTGAGAGCCACCTGTGAGACAAAAAGATTACCTGATGGCCCTGAAGCTGGGGTACATTACACCTGACACCAGCATCTTCATGGTTATTACAATCTGATTTCTGCCATCCCAGGTGCTTACACTGTCGGATGCTCTTCTCCGATCCCTTGCAGTGAACTTGGTCAAGAAGGACCTTTAACGAATAAAGTAATAAAAGGAAAAGAAAAGATGGGAAAAGATGAAAATCCACAGGCCTCATAATACGGGAGAACGAAGTGAACGCAAATGCTGCGATCATTTCGGTTAGCATTAAGGGTCACTAGCCTCTGGCTTATTTCCTATCATTGGCTGGTAAAAACTAGTTTCCCTCTCAGCCGTTTTTTTGGGATGTCACGCGACGTTTAAGGGGAACGTTGCGTGACATCCCAGAAAAAACGGCTGCGAGGGAGACTAGGTAAAAACTAAGGTAAAAAACGGTCTTTTTCATGCAAATTTTGCGGAAGTTGCTGACGCATGAAAGAAATGTCATGTGAAAGGAGGGCCTACAACCAAAGGTTTAAAAATGGTGAAGGGCAGACTTTTGTAGTTCAAATTCAAATTCAAGCTTAGAACTGAAGGTCATTTGTAGGACGTTAATGAAATCATGCTTTTCGTTGAACTTAGGATATTGGAAGAAGTAGATCAATACGTCACCAAAAAGAAGAATCGGTCTGTATTCTGCCACTCTTCACCTCGCCTTTCAGTTCGGAGATTCTTTAAGGACGTTTGTCAAGGCAGGCGATAAAAGCAGTCGAAGATGTTAATTTTTCTCTCTAGGTTACAACTTATAGCTGTATAAGTCAGACGCTGATGTCTGGTTTCCATATAACCGTGCGAATGGTCTTAAATCACGCAGTCCGACTCAAATTGTGTTGCTGAACACAGTTCGCCGTTTGAGCGGTAACTCTGGTACCGTCTGGATACAGTCGGGAGACTTGGGTGACACATATAAGCCGTTTTATATACGTCACGCGAAGACAAGAATCCCCTGAAGGAGGTTGGATACCTTGCAGCGCCTACCCAATTCCATATGAAACATCATTCATTTTGTTTTTAAACCCTAATCAGGAGCTATTCGCTCCTGCCCTTATTAGAAAATCTCAGGCTGGCTGCAAGCTGATGCTAAATTGTGTAGGCGTGACTTGGTGTCCGACCTCCGGAGGAATTCCACCTGGCTGCGACCTTCCATGGTATCATCCAAATCGTCCTACCATCCCTAACACTAGAAGCACTCCAGACGAAAAAGCTCTATCCAGAGGATATAGCACGATTCCTTTATCCTTAACCACGGTGGATAGCACTATCCAGCCATAGAAAATCGAGGCCACGCTTAAACTAAAGTAACAAACAATCACCATGACATAGTAACAGATAAAGTAAAGCAGAGCACAAAGAATAACATTACCCTTCCCATGCCTCTTCCGTAATACGCATTCGTGGTTGCCATTGCCGCTGTACCATAACCGAGTGACCTGCAGACAACATTTGCTTCACGCATTGTCCAGTTATCATCGCAGATGGTACCCCAGAAGCCGTGATATTTCACCTCTACTCGGCCCTCAGATACCAAGGCCCCACTTCGCAGCCGTATGCTCAAAGGCTAGAGAACAAAAAAAGGGAGGAATTATTATCGGTGGTTTTCCGCCCCTACCCCCCTCTGCTCCCCCTTCCACTTTATCCCATCCTTTAGACAAATTTCGATATTTTAAAATTCATGCTTGGCTGCGAGACTTGGGGAAATAAAACACAAGAGATATATTTATTATTCATTGCCTAGCCTCAAGATGACTTCTTTTGTTTTATTCTCCAAAGCCTCAGATCCAAGCACTTTCCTCTTTCCCAGTCCCCCTGAGCCTTCAAAATCAAAGACGATGACGACACTAGTAGGCCATTTCCGAGTTCAAAAATCACACTTTCAAAACGAGGCTAAGCGCAAAACCTTTCTCAACTTTCATTAGCATAAGAATGAAAAATCATTTTCATACAATGGTTTCGTACTTAACCTCGCTTTAAAGAAGAGGCTTGAGGCGACACCGAAATGGCCTATTGCCGAGCTGCCGCTCGCTCGAAAAATACGCCCTGTCATGCAAGCTATTTTGAAACCAACTTCGCTTTCAGAAAGGGAAATCGTTACACGCATGCATAAAGTTCGAAAATACGGCGTTCTCTACGTTAGATGTTGACTTAGGAATTCTTACGGTAGAAAGACTGTAAGAAAAATATATAAGCAAATATGCAAGCAAACAAACGGTATTTTTAAGTGTATTTGCACAACGAAACATGGCGGAAAGGATCCGTTTATTGTTTTTGTACTAGCCTGCGTGCAGACGACGTCTTGGGTGACGTCGGTACGCAGGCCTTTTTCACAAGCCTGCGACCGCAGACTTTTTTTTTACTTACCATTCAAGATTTTACTGATACAGGTAGGTCTACCCAGGATCTTGCCCTCTTCACTAATTTGTCAATTTTTTTTTGCCCTTTGTTGGATTTTTGAACAATATAAACTAGGAGATGTCCTCTCTCCAGAAAAACAACCCCTACATTACTAAAAAGGCACACGTTCCTTAGGGCTGCGTCAAGCGTTACGGGCAGGAACCCGTGACGAAGCGCCAAGAACGGCTGCGTGAGAGACTAATACGTCACCTTCGTGATATTTCGCCGAGAACATTTGATTTTCACCACCTTGCCATTCTCACATTCATGACGGCCCAACCCTGCATGGTCGCATGACAAAATGGAGGACTCCAAACCTTTACACGTGACCTGGCTCAGCCAATAGTCGGGTTTCACCTCCTGTACTGTCTCCGAGTAAAACTCCAGTTTCGCGGCGTTTGGGAATCCAAGTTGGCCACACAACACGTACGAATTGAGAAATGTCCAGCTAGAAGGACAGATGTAACCCCATTTCCCCTCGTGTTCCACCTGTACGACACCTTCAGAGATGTAGTCATCTACCACAGGGCCCTGTAACTTTACGTTAAGGTTCACTGTCTGGTTGGGGAAAAAATACACTTTATTTAAGTGCCAATGTATTTACCATTAACGTACTAATTGAGAGGACTCACTATCTTTAGGTCATAGATGAGAACGCATTTTTCCAGAAAAATTGGGTGGGAGTTTGCCGCACGTTTCCAGAAACCCTTACCCTATTTCAGATCAAAATCTGTGACTTTCCCCACCCTATTTCAGACCTGACCGGTACGTACACAATTGGCGTAAACATTCTAAGGGAAATAGTCTTATCGCCTAATGATGAAGAAGTAGCTTCTTCTAAAAAACATCCCCAATTCAAGATTAGAGTGCACAAACAAGACCCTATTTCAGACCAAAATGGTCAAAATTGATACCCAATTTCAGACCAAAACGGCTAAAAAACCATACCCTTTGGTGCCGCACAAACCTATCCAGCCTACATAAGGGAGTACCCCCTTTACCCCGGCTGCCAAGTGAGTTTCGTTATCTTTGTTTTAACATTCTGACTTAACGTAAAGATTAAAAATAATTGCGATGGACACAAAATGATACCTCTCCACTGGCTTTTGAGGGTACAGGTTCAATAATCATGTCATTCAAGTGCTTTTTACAGACTGTTCCAGCCTGGTTGTGTGAAAGACAATTGTTTCGGCCCCATGGTCTGTGGCGGCACTCGTCAATGGAGTTCTCTTCTCCAGTACACTTCACGTCATCAAGCCAAAATTTTCCTGTAATTCCTCGTCCAAAGGCATGGCGTCTTGTTAAGAATAAGTACATCCACTTTAATACACGTTTTCGTTTCCCCCTCTATTTGGTGAGTCGGTCTGTAAGCGCTTTATCCCACGTCAAAACTAGCCCTCGTAGCTATAACCTTAAACAAAACTAGTTGAGGCTATCTAAAAATACCTGGAACACCCAATGACAATATAGTTCAAAACCACTTAAACATAGCATTGTTGAACGTATTTTAGTATTTAAACGGTAGATATAGGCATATTTTTATCCCCTAAAAAATTTTTCATCTGTTCGGATTTCCTAGCTGAACGTCTAGTGGTCCGAAAATTATAGGGATCAAAACTTTTCAGCAAGAAAAAAGGCTCCCAAAAATTCTAGGTGACCTTTCTAGGGTAAAAATCCGTTAAAAATAGGTAATTTACCATTTTTTGGATGTTCGAAAATCCTGGGAGAGGCAGGCAAGCAAGAAATTTTACAACAAATGCTCCGAAAATTCTAGATCTCAAATCGTCTTCCGAACATATATTTCTGAAAATTGACGTTGGGTGCCCCGGAAAATACGGACCCTATGACATGTCCCGTTGCTGACGGTATTAAACGGCTGTAGAATAGAGGCTACAGAGCCCAGATGGGGGAGGGGGTGGTGATTGGATAAGAGGTGCATTTTTCCCTCTCCTAGCTCTCCCCAGCTCTCTTGTGGCACAAGAGGGCCTCTGCGGAATACACAGAGGGGAGGGGAAATCCCACAAGCTTGAACTACAGCTCCTGAGGAGTAGGCGTGGTCTCCTTCCAACAGTCACTCAAACACAGCGTGTTTGGGGTTTCCCCTTCAACTGTTTTTTATTTGAGCATATCGATCTAGAATAATCTAAAGACTCTAAGGACATTTCAAAGATATTGAATTAGGGAGTCTTGGCGTCAATATAAAGGTTGTAGTCTCTGGATACAATTTAGCCTCAGGGATGTACTTTACTTTAAAAAATTGACATTTAATTGTCGGTCTTTTTTGTTCCGAGAAAAATTCCTTCTTTTCTTTTCCTCTCAAAATAGCTTAATTTCGATTAATTAGAGTTTGTTTTGAGTTTAAATCATGATGCACGAAAAAATTTTGTAATTCCCGCAATTAATACCACATGCGTTGAGTGATGAAAATGTAGTGATAGTGATATTGACTTGAGTATTATCCCCCTCACACTATCACGGAAGCTCGAAGGTGAATAAATTTGAATTATCAGCGTTGTTTTAGTGATTTTACGGTCCTTACGGCTTATTTCTACAATAGCTCTGCGTTTCTCCACCTGACTCGCAATTTTATTGTGCCACAAGAGGATAGCGGAGGAGATAAAATATTTGATTATCAATTAGACAATGTAACGTTGTGACTTTCTACAGAGAAAAGAAGAAATCCGCCCGTTTCAAGATTAACAGAACAAAACTTATGTCATAAATTTAAAGGAAGGGTATTGCCTTATATAACATATTTTGCTGCAAGATATCTGTAGATCTGGGACACGCTTACGTCTTTGTGCAATAAAGATTATGCAACAGCTATTGACACCTTCTTCCCTAGATTTCTGTGCAAAGCTTGGTAATTTACTAAAGTTATATACGAAAGGAAATCCAGCTATAAATTCAAACAGTATATTGCCGCATAAACAATATTATGAGAACGATCCCTGACTCACCCTTTAGTAAAGCGCAAAACATCAGGAAATCCCAGTTGACGACAAATCACTCGGGCAGACTTCCTGTTCCATCCGTGATCACAAACTGCTTTCCATGTGCCATTGTAAAGTACTTCGATTCGTCCCTCGTAGCTGTGCTTTCCGTTTATTAGGCGAACATTGGCGCCGTTTGTAAACTTTACGCTCAATAGTGCAAAAGTGAGTAAAACACTGTGAATATCAATACTACAAATGGGTAGCCTCATATTTTCAGATGTCAATCCTAATTTGGACTCGCAATGGTTAAAACGCTACTCCGAGCTTATATTTTGAGAGAACTCGAAGCAACGGTGATGGGCTTGCAAATTTAAACGCTGCAAATCAAAACCACTCAACCGCTCTAAATCCTTCCAAACCACTGCGTTGTAATACCGGGTGAAAATCGTGTGACAGTTCACGCGGATATTTCTCACAACATGAAACCCGATATGTAACCTATCTGAATGAGAGCATTGAACAAACATCACTTCCAGAGAACTGAGAGTCTTTGTGTTGCAAAATATCTAAAACTGCGCTATAAAGATAAGCGCCAGTTAATCAAATTCTTGAGGTGAATGACGACTGTATGGGTATACAGTAGTTCTCAATGGACACAAATCACGACCCATCTACTCCTGAACTGCTATGCCACGTTGTGCTCGAGAAAGGGGGGATTCCCATATGTAAATAGTCTGGGAGGGGGGAGGGGGTCCTTGTCCAGCTTTTACGCTCCTTTTTTACGACAGGACATCGCGCCGCATTTCGACCTTCTGACATCCCCCGGGGGGGTACTCTTGGGAATTCTTAGTGGGTGTGGGTCGCATGGTTCTCCAAATCCTGACCATATATTTCAGACCAAAAAATGTCATTTTTCACACTCGTTTTAAGACCTCGCCTCTTAAATCCATACCCGTTTTCAGACCCCGGGGAGGGGGGGGGGGGTACTGCCATCTATGGCCTATATAGGTATGTGTGGGTGTGAGGGGGAGGGTTTTCAAGCGGTTTAGTCTAG